GAAACAAAGAGTCCCTAAATCTGATGATATACGAAGAAGCGCTCAGCTCAGCAAGAGCAGCAAATGTTATTATCAAAGCTCAAACTCATTCTGGGAATAGTTCGAAGAGGTGGTGGAGTAGAATTTCCATACGACGAACAAAGTTTTTTAACAGATTATCCGTCGCCTCCGTGATGAAAAGATGGACTGTCCTAGAGTTCTGAAGAAAACTCCGGATGCCTTCTTACTAAGAAAAAGGGTATACCTCGTTAGTGCCAGTGTACTGTGACAAACTTTTTAACTCCGAGCAACTGCAAAAGGACTCACCTGATGAACAACTTTTATCAAAAAAGGAGGTCACAGAAGCTGTGAAAATCTTGAAAAGTGGCAAGGCTGCTGGAATCGATGAAATATGAGTTGAAATGCAATAAGCTCTAGATAAACAAAGCATGTTGTGTTAAACAAATATCTCCCAAACTGCATTATCCATGAAGAAGACATTGGTGGACTGGAAAGCTGAAGGGATAGTACCCATATTTGACTAGGTTTACCAGAGGGATTGCTCCAATAATTGAGGCGGTACCTTATTGAACTTCCGAAAAGATCTTTGATTTACTTGAGTTTTCGGTTGTCTGATTTGAATTATCACTTGGCTGTAGGAAGTACTTTCCAGCAGATCGTGCGAATTTAAGTTTTATGGCATATTATTTGTAGTTGGTTTTGTATATATTCAACGACGGGTTGTAATACTTGAGCACAGAGCAAGGGTTAAATTTTCTTCTTCTCCTTCTCTTCCTCCTTCTTCTTCTTCCTAGCATGTTCCTTGAACAGAGGTCTGCTAATGGAGTCAATCTCCTCCACATTTTTCTGTCGTTGGTTCAAACCTTCAGAGACTCTCCGCAGTTTCATATCGTTTTTGACGATTTGCGCCACCTTTACTTCGGCTTTCTCCTTCTTTTCTACCCCCCAAGTACAAGTATACTTAGACCACATTTCCAGCGTACTCGATGGGTGTTCCTTTCACGGGATCGGACCAGGGGAGCCTGCTTTCGATAAGCTTCTCTGAAAAAACGGATGTAGTTTAAGACGACCCAGATGGTACATAGCAAGGTTTCATACGATCTTAAAATGTTTGCTGTAGGAATGTCTAACGTGGTATTATTGTTCTGTGCTTGGGTGAACGGCTTCCACTGGCGCTAAACTGACAGACTGGGTTGCTTTAATTATGCTGATAAAAACAGGTGTTCAAACAAACATAGCCATTCTTACACATAAACGTACCACATGGAAACCGACAGCTAATCAAACTGCGGGCGATTATTCGCATTTTAGTGCCTGGATCTTTTGTACTTAGCTAATGAGTCGTCAGTTTTACTTTACAAGGTATTAACTGTGCTAGAAAGACTTCATCGTTTAGTGACTGTGGCTGTTAAAAGTTTCTCAGCGCTGTAGTACATTTCCGGTCAGTGCGTAATTAGAATATCGTCTCCAACGCAAAACTGGCTTCAAAGATATGAGAACCCTTGTCGAATGTTATCCTCCCTCACTGATCGACTTTTTAAATTTCATTACATAACTTGATGGCTAAGAGAGCAGCCGAATACTTAAATTCCACTATACTTCACAGCGGCTCACGATCCGCACTTCGGTTGTTACCGCATTCTGCAGTGGGGCTGCAGAGGTTGAATTACAGAGTACATGTTATGCTTATATTTGTAAAATTGAAGGATACCTATTGTACATTGGAAGACTGCTGAACTTATGGCAGTGTTGAGTGCAAGGAGGGCAGTGAGTCAAACCTCCAGTGTAAGCAGGGCAGTAATTCAAACTGATTTAAATGAGGTATAAGTCAAAATTTTTAAAACTTCTCGCTTTGAAGGCAAACATTCATTGAAAGTAGCATTCGAAGAAGATACTCTGACTGTATACTCAGAGAAAAGAATTAAACCCGCCATCGGCATTCTTTCCTTAAATGGATCTGATGAAAATACCCTTGCGTTAATTTTAGGAATTTAATTATTGAATGATTTGTGTTATTATTGTACATTATAACTGAAATGTCAGATCAAGACCAGATTAATTTTTTCTTCTTTTTCTTGGTATTCCAAAATTTAAAATATGTGTCAGTTAATCACTACGTATGCAGTGAGTTGAAATAGAACGGGCACATAACTAAGGAATATACTTTTCCATGTAAGTTTGAAATAGTACAGTTGTTACTTCACCTTTTGGTTAAGACGCTAGAAAGCGGACATTCAGCCTATTGTTTTCTTTATCGCGTCAGAGTGGTCAGTTGGTCATCACGGACACAACCGGTTCCGCTTGCGATGTGTTTGAAATTTTTTTTTCATCTTCCGTCACGTGAAAAAATTACACAGCCGACAAACGGCGGTCGCTGTAAAGTCATCAGGCGTCGGAATCTCGTGAGAAAGTGAGAAACGCGTCGAGTCCCAAGCCTAGATTTGTTTCAAGTGTTTGTAGGACACGAGGTTCGTTCGTTTTATTGCTCCCACCTCGGGGTGCAGTTGGTTAACCCGGAGCGTTCAGAATCAAGGGCAATTCGGGTCTTGCGTGGTCAGGAAGCGATGCGCACGTCGACAAAAAAGGAACTTGTTCCACCATGACTCCACGTCAGACGTCAATCGTAAACGCTGAACGCATCGCTTGAGTCGCTTGTGCAACACCTTCCAAGCATATAAGAGATGAGTTTCGTTCCGCTGTTCGTCGTTCTCCTCATCCTCGTCGGACGCAGCCACCAAGAAAGTAAACGTTTGTGCATTTCTAACAATGTTCTTAGTCGAGGTACACCTAACAGATTTCATATGTCCGCCTTTCGTTTCTGAAACAGTCGTGCTCCTTTCGGCATCGAATATATGTTTGTCAAATTTCGACTGCCGCCAGCGAAGGAAGTGCTGCGAAACTCCTCTGGGCAATTACTGCCTTTTGCCGATTCGAGTCAAGAGCGAAGGTAAGTTGAGTCTGCGGTTGCACCAGCCTATATTATCACAGGTACCACTGCTTCCGAATACCTACCGAAAGGGCGAAGAGCTCGAACCCGAGTGAAACGGTGGGCGTATTGCGGCCCTCACGATTATTCGCTGATTGCCGGCCGGTTCAGTTGACCCGAGTGAAGATACCAGTACTTACACACTATCTGCTACGGAGCATAAATTTAAAAACAACATGAAACAGGGTATTTTTATTAACCATGCAAAAAATATTATGGTGATGGAATGATTGACCAATACCAACGTTTCGGCCGGTGTCTCATGGCTCTTGATGAAAGTAGGTGGCTTGCAAAGTTTCTGAGGTTTTCCTGGGTGTCCGTAGCGGCTAGAGGTTTAGAGTCAGAAGATTATAAATTGAGGAATCCGTAAGTTTCAGCATGTTCGTAAGTTTGAGCATGTCAGATAGCTCATAACTCCTCCAACACCAGATTTCACGGCGCATAGTTACCTACGGAACCACTTAAATAGCTTACGACTCCACGGAATTTAAGTATCAGCAGTACCGTGCACACCTAGGGTGATGATGCTGGCTGTGGCCACACTGCGGCCATTACGTCAGATTTATCAGGAATTGGTAATCCTTTTATGTCATGGCATATAAATACAGTCATGTTCGTGCGCCTAAAGGTGTCAGATATCGCATAACTCATCTAAGACCAAATTTCACATCTTACTGCTCCACTGTGTTGTTGAAATCTGACCTTAGACGAGTCTTGCTATATTAAACATACTCTAACATACGAACGTTGACGTTTATGAAGTAGCACATGGGGAGAATCAGCTCCAGTAATACCGTTCATAATGAGCAGCAGGTAACCATAGGGAATAAAATGATGCGAAATGGGTTTAGAAACGCGGCAGGCTCAAATATTCCCTCCTCAGACAACTTGGAGAGAGGAACGGTGCATTTCATCATGAAATTTGTTCATGCTACTTTACCAGTAAGACTTAAAGTTTGAACTTGACTCATGTTGCTTGAAAATTCACTGCAACAGGTTCACGCGATCAGTCATCAATAAGTACTATACAATGCTAATGTATGGTCCCTCGTTTAACGAGGCTATCGAGAAATCTAGGAAAGCAGGTCACGACGCATGAACTATGTATGTTCAAGCCTATGTGTGCCGGCATGTTGAATTCGATTCAGATGGGGTGACATAAGTTCATCGACGCTTACTTCTCTTGAAAAGCGTACCTACTCATCTCGCTCCCTACAGTAGTGACTGAGACTGACAACTTCAGTTCTGTCTAGCGTCGAGCCGGTACCCCAGCAACGTGGATTTAAACACACCTGCCAATAACCACAGGTGGATTGGGCGTAATTGAAACGGAAACGGACTTTTTCGAATATGCCTCGTTCCCTGATCTAAGTTCTGCTCTACTCGCTTTCAAAGCATGCTCCGCTGTCCCAGTTTCAGTGTTGACACAGACACAACTAAGCGCGAACTAGTTCAATTCTGAAGAACAATAAAGCAGGTTATTTTTTTCTGCCACGCAATTCTCTTAATAATAAGAGGGTGGAGGTCCAGTTGGAGTCGAATTGTTACGTTAATGCTTGAAGAAGCAGAAGAGAATCTGTACGAGAATTTGGTACTCTAATCAGACGAACTTCTGGCGATTTAAAAACACCAGTGTGACTTTGAGGGGACACGACGAGCGATTCAAAAAGTTTTTATCTACGTAGATTGAACTGCCATTATGACTGTTTTCGATTTTAGTCCCATTGACCAAATTATTTCCACGGTGTATTAGTGAATATGTTTTATGTTGTGGTCGGCTCACAAACGCACCAAGCAAATACTAAAACTGGTGTCACTTCGCCTTCTTCACGCTGAGTCTCATATCGTCGTTCTTCCATGCATTGCCGTAATGTAGCCGTAATGTAATGTCACATCACAGTTATACTGTATTGTATGGAATTACGATACGTCATTGATCTGTGATATTCTTCTGGCAGCAAAGAATGCATCATCTATGAAGTCAATATCTACGGTTATTTGACAAACACATTGTGAAATCGCCTGTTTCCACCCAGGAAGCTGTGCTAATTAATTTTTAAATATTTAAAAATGATGAAAAATCGCAGTTTTTATTCCTTTTGTAAATATTTGTTGCCAACGTGGCTTTTTCCTAGGCCGATTTACCTTACACACGCGTGGACATCTTTTCTCTCTTTCCTTCCATTGCCCCGGGTTCCGGTCAACCTGCCACATGTGCCGCAGCGGATGAGAGTGCACTCCACCGAAATTAGCACCAGTATAAGGTGTCGACGTATGATCAAAGGCCATCTTCTCTCAAAAAGACATTAAAATGGATTTCTGGAGCGCATCAGAAAAGTTTTAATTTATAGAAACACCGCTTATCTGACATGAAAGAGGTAAAGAAATCGGAATAAGGTAAAGGAGAATTTTTCAGACTTTGTCGATGCCATCCTGAAATGATATCATCTGCGAAAGTGGTCAATAAATTTCATTGCAAAAAAACTGTAGCTTTAGTTTCGCGTGAAACCATTTGATCTAAATCGTTTTCCTTTGACTCAAAAGAAATAGCTAAATCACGATAAATTGTCATGTTCAGAATGTGGAAGAATGTCGAAACAATTATTAGATCATGACGCCATTAAGGACCTTACGATTTATACTGTAGAATGTGACTTAACGACAGCGACACGCATGACACCCTCACGACAAACGAAACTGCTGCTGCGTCAGTACCTGTTTAATTTAAATTACTGGTTCTTATGACCTGTTGCGAAAACTCCATTGCCCTCCCTGATCCACTGGCTTGTTTCATGGATACCGAAGTCTGTCAGTCCCGTAAACAGTGTATGGATTGGCGGTCCGTACCCTCGGTTCTTGTAAAGATGAAGACTGCACAACAACAGAACGCGAATGCAGTATAACTCATGGTTAAACGTGAACCCATCGAAGATTAACTTCATCGCCACAGGAAAATTACCAGCTTTCCTCTACAGCTTGAATTCCGTGAGCTACAAGTCGAAACTTCGGTAGACATTTTGCCACCGGTATATAAAAATGGGTGATATGATTGCTAAAATTTTGGTTGGTGCTGGTTCTGCGTGTTATATACACTAATTTAAATGGTTAGATGAGTTGATTCATTAGAATTGGTTCGGGTTACTAAATGTGTCAGCAAATAATGATGCTCAAAGTGGTCCACAGCGAAGTTCATTAATTCATAAATATACTATATAGCGAAAATTTTTAACTCAATAATGACCTTTCAGATGAAAACGAGAAGGTCGGTGTCTGTCCCAGAACAGCTTACACAGAGGAGTACACTGACGTCACTATTTGCCGAAATGATCGAGATTGTTACGGTGATCGGAAATGCTGTTTTACACCGGAAGGCAGAGTCTGTATGCTTCCGACTTTCCCTGAACACAGTATGACAGATTGTCTCAGAATCGGTTACTTCTCACATTAAGTTGCGCCAAATTTGAGGCAGAGAAAAAAGACTGCGTCACCTGTGCGGTGAGAAAGAAGAGTACTCTTTGTGTGCACCGAAATGCTTTGCGAACTGTGAAGACTTGGACGCGGAACGGAGATGTTCAGAATGCTCCCCCGGGTGCAAATGCATGACGGGATACTACCGGATCGAAAAGACGAACAGTTCTTCGACCTGCGTTCCTAGATACGTATGTGAGAAGTTAAAACTGAATGGTAAATTACACTTCAGTTCCGTAACGTGTAACCACAATCCGGAAAGTAATAAGTATAGCACAGTCGACACAGGGGGTAGCTGCTCGGTTATTACACTGTCTTGCACTTAATAATAAGCCACAAAATGCGTCAAGGCAAGTTGTGGCTCTCAGGACATCATGACTGTCATCAGACCTCCTCCCACTTTAGTATGACCGTACTAGAAGAGAGATCTGTTGAGCCATTACACAATTGACTCGAATATCTGAACTGACCTCGTGAGTTACGCAAATATATCCCGCGTTTTCTGATGTTATTTACTAATTATTCTTATTGGCATTATATTCATTTTCGTATTTTATGTTTATGAGCAGCTTGTTGTCGGCCTTATCCCTTTTGCCCTGATGATGCTACTGATATCGTGCCGAAACCAGTAGGCAGTAAAACTTTAACACTACCTCGGTTGATCATCGGAACCACGCATCATCAAATTCGCTGCATCCTGCACATCCTGCTGTCTTTGTTTTTCGAAATTCGACGGTTTGCTACCCATTTCTAAGATGGATGCTCGGAAGCAACAGGGGGACGAATTTTTTGCCTCAGGAAGTAAGCAATTTACAGTTTTTTCTCTCACCTTTGCG